CAACCGGCCCAGCACCACCCCCTGCGGGGTTCATACTCTCGTAGTTGTACACGTCCAAGATAAACACGGCACACCTCAGAGTTCACTTCTCTCGGTCATTAATTTGCACACTTCTGGGGTTACTCCTAAATATTTTACCAACAAAAAATATCCTAATTGTAAAAATTAAAATGAGGTACACATAAATTAAATTCAAATGTTATTGCCCAAAAAGATTAGTATTGGGACCGAACAAGCCCACCCAGAGCGAGATCCGAGGGACATAGACCCCCATCAAGCCGCTATCCAACTCGGCGATCCAGCACCTTAGAATCCAAGCGCTCATCGAACCGCCCCAGAGGACATCACAACGGAACAGCCCCAAACCATCAGCCCCTCAAGACAACCCGCTCTCATCGCTACCCACCGATCCACCACATTTTTAACCCTATCGGATTCCTTATTTGTCAGACCGCGTACCATGCGAGAAAGGTGGGTTTTTTATTAAATCCAAAGCGCCTTGTCCCAAGGTGCGGCCACGGACGGGTCCGGCCTGTGCTGTCGCCTGTCCCGCGAAGAATCTCATAGGTTCGTTGTGAGTGATTTTTGGTGGGTCTACAAGAATGGGGTCTAGCCCAGTTTTGGTTCCGCACATATTATACGCCTCTCCCTCACAAAAATTTGGGTACTCCTGTCTGCACTACCCACGGATCAGCCAATATCCATTCTCTTAGTAACCATTCTCAAACTTTTCCATCCAAATCAGTCGCACCGTGGGACAAGCCTTTTCAAATCACCTTTCAAGAGATTTTTCCACCCAAACATCCCATTTTCATGGAGCATTACGGGCTTCATTTTCCATTACAGTGTTTGCATACATCAATGGTTTTGACAACCAAAACACATCCACCACGTGACATCACAACAGCGGCAATATGTAAACGCGTTACGGACTTTGACCGCGCGAATAATCGACCTCGGGGCCCACTGAGAAAAATAGACCAAACTTAGGAAAATTCTGGTCTTTTTATCTCAGAATTTTATAACACTTACCATTCCACAATTCAGCCGACAAATCCGAAAATGGAATTTGAATGACAACGGAAATCAACCAATATGCAGAACTTTACTCGAAGAGTACTAATAGTCGACATAAAAATATCCTACATTTCAGGAAAAAGGTAGCTTTCAGGCTCTTGTGAACCCCCTCTCCCTAGGAGGTTGAAAATAACCTATCGGACATTACTGGCTAAGGTTTTTATTAAACCTTGTGCGAGACTAAATGGACGACATGCCTTTCTATTTCTTGTTCAGAATTGGTCATGTTGTGACATGGAGTCAATCCGTGTGTTGCAAGCCCAAGACAATAGATTTCCAACACAAAATATCTTCTACACATTTTCTTCTCGTGCGTTCTCAATCCTACGTTGTGCTTTCCATTTTGTGCGCCCTGAATCCAGCGCTCCTGGTTTTCATAAGTTGTTTCTAGAGAATTAGCCCTTGTTTTATTCTCATTATGATACCTTTTACCCTCAGTTTTCGTATCACTTTCATTAATCGATGATTCTTATTGTCCAGTATCTCTTATTATCTCGTTCTTGAATTCTCACATGCCTTCTAATCTCAAGATAAAGTAAATTGAGCTATAAAATAGCATCAAGCTATACTCCTCTCACATAAGACCCTGCAATGACAACATATGTTGCAGATATCACTCTCTTACCATAGGAATGGGTAGGACTTAATCCTTTGGTGATTTCTGGTGAGACCATACATAACTTTAGTTATCCGCCGTTTGAACTGTCTTATGTTTATTTTTGGGATCCTCCAGGCATTTAAAAT